ATCTCTGGTCTTTTTATTTTGTGTTTGCATGTTCCCTGTATGTGTGTGTGTGTTTCTCCACTTTCCTCCCACAGTACAAAAACATTACGTAACTGTTTATTTTGAATTGACCCTTGGTGTGAATGTGAGCATGAATGATTGTTTGTTTCCATATATGGCCAATGATTGACAGGTGAACTGTCCAATGAGAAGAATGATTTGCTTTAATTTTTTTCTTTACATTTTTCTTTCTTATTATGCAATTCTGTACATTGTACATTTTTCTTTCTTATTATGCAATTCATTTGAAGCTACTTTTCAAATACCTCATTAGAAATGAATGTTGTGATGAAGTCTCAGTCAGGTCACTGAAGGCATCACACTGCATCTCCAAAGATCTTCTTTATACCTTAACCCTAGTCTTTAGTTTACTTTTTTGTTTTTCTTTTGGATTTGAGTCACAAAAAAGTTTATAAGTTTCCTTCAAATCTTTCTTCATGATGTAACTGTGAGGACGGTGTTCTTTAGGTTACACTCCTTTCCTTTCCTTCCTCCAAACATACAACATCCCTATGGTCGGCCTCATTTCTTCTCAAGGATGTTCTACTAATCCAAACTTAAGTCTGGCTTAAAGGTTTCTCATCTCCTTCTGGAATGTCTGTATTGACTCCGACAATTATTGAGACTGGAATCAGCAGAGTCATTTACTCCTCAGTGGTTATTTCCAGGTCTTTCCACACGTCTCTGACTAGTTTTCTTCTAAGAGTTTTTGACGTCTTTCATTTAGATTTTTTTTATCTTGTTCTGCTCAAACGTCAATAATAACACTTCTCACTTCACATCTTAACAAAAGGAGTCATATTTTAAAAAAAAACACTAGACTTCTGGTTCTGGGTTCTTGGTAAACTGTTCGATTCATTTTCTGTAGGACAAACAAATGTGAGCCATTTCATCACTGTGTGTTTTTTTACAGTGTACCGAGGGATACGAGTATGACCGAGTCAAAGAGCAGTGCAGAGGTGAGGACAGCGGTGGGGCTCGCATCACGTGCAGCTTTCATTCGTTAAACAACAAGATGCACCGACAATTTTTTTTTCTTTTAACTCCCCTGCCTTCTGTCCTCAGACATCGATGAGTGTAAGCTCCTGGACGATGCCTGTAAAGGAGGCATGCGGTGCATCAACCACTACGGTGGATACCTGTGCCTTCCCAAGAGCGCCGTCATCTACGTCTCTCAGGAGGCCACCGCTCCAGAAGCCGTCCTCCCGGTCGCTCCCAACCAGCCTCCCATCCCGGCGGTGCCTCCCACCGACCCGCGACTCCCTCAGACCCCCCGGACCGTCCGCTGCTCAGCGGGATTCACGGCCGATGAGCAAAACCTGTGCAGAGGTGAGAGCTGACACTCCAGCAGTGACCACCACCAGATCATAGTGTGTCGTAGTCCATTTATTTTCGCTCTTGTACACGGACAGCAAAGCTCTGTGAAGAAGAGTGTTAAAAAGCAAAAAAAAAGCACAAAAAAAAGCAAAAAAGCTGCTGCTGCCAAAATACTGAACAAATAAATGAATATATTTATGGCATCCAAAAGAACGATATAAAAATTGACCTTTGGCCTTGAGGAAAAAGATAACACCCATAAAATGTGATTGCAGATTAGAATTTATCTGACCGCTGCATACTGTGGTGTCCCACAATAATTACTCATGTTGAGATGTGCTGCTGCTGCTGCTGCTGCTGCTGCTGCTGCTGCTGCTGCTGGAAACATGTTTCTTGTTGTATTTTAAGCAGAGCTACTCTCGGTTGGTAGATATTTGATAATTACTTGCTAATGACTTCAGTGCCTCAACAAGTCCGGCTCCAAAAGTGAACCCTTCATCCATCTCCCTGACAGTGGTGAACATTTAAACCATGCGTAGCCGCCAGATGTGCAGCAAACTTTTCACTTTTCCCTTTTCTGTGATGTCATATTCTCTAAACTCTTTAGTTGCTCCGAGTGTGATGTATTATGGTTGAGGTCCAACTTTCTTTCCAAAGAATTAAACAATTCAGTTTTGGGGGGTTGAGGTGGGGGTAACAAGAGTAAGGGGGGGGTGAGGAGAGTGGGGGTGTTGGGGGGGAAAG